TTGTTCATCCGATGACACGGCAGACCCCTTGGTCTCAACGTGATCATCTTTTTGAAGACCGGTCTCCTCCTCCCACTCCAAGGATGAGGACCGTTGCTGGATTTCGGACTGGCCCCTCCATGCCGCCGTTCGTGCATCACGGCAGACCCCTTGGTCTCAACGTGATCATCTTTCTGAAGACCCTCATCCTCGGCAGTACCTCTCGGTACCCCTCGGCAGTACCTCTCGGCACCCATCGGCAATACCTCTTGGTACCCCCTCGGCAGTACCTCTTGGTACCCCTCGGCAGTACCTCTCGGCCATGAAACCTCCCGACATACATGAATCCTTCGGGTAACATTCCAACGGCTATATTGCGAAGTGGCCTCAGCCAGCACCCTTCGGCACACAGGCAACAGTTTCCTTCAGGTTCCTATGCCTTCGAGCATGCAATAGTATACGCCTTCGGCTTATCAATGTTGCACCCCCAAGTGACTGCCTCCGGCTGCCACCTATTATGGTCTTCAGTGAACAACTCTCACCAGAACCCTTCAAGAATTCAGCAGTATAAGCCTTCGGCTTGTCAATGTTGTCACTCATCAATGCATACTTGGATGATAGCCTTCGAGCAGATAGCAGTATAAGCCTTTGCCTTGTCAATGTTGCCACTCATCAATGCATACTTGGATGATAGCCTTCGAGCAGGCAGCAGTATAAGCCTTCGGCTTGTCAATGTTGCCACCCCTCGGGAGCTCATCAACACATCATAACTCCTTCAGCCCGAACTTGCCTTCGGCCTAAAGGAGTGAGGGACTGGGATACACCCCTCGGGAATCACACATGACTAAAAAAAAATCCCACATGCAAGAAATCTACAAATAACACATGTCGCCCTCGGGTACATACACCAGTACACCCTTCGGCAAAGCAGAATGTCAGAAACGTTCCACAAAGTCACTGACAATGATGAAACAGCCTTCATCACAACACACACAGATATTATTTACGCTTCCTCAGAAAACCCTCGACATGTGGGGGACTGAGGGAAGCCTTCGGCTAACAGCAGAAGATAAGTGATCAGTCAAAGGCACCCAACAAAACGATGAAGCCTTCGGGAGAATCAACACAATTACTCCTTTTCCCTCAAGTACCTTTCGGCAAAAGGAGTGAGGGACTCCTGATGGAGTATATGGCCCGGGAACCCCCGGCCCACAGACTCCTACTAATCTATCACAAACCCAACAAGCCCAAGGAGCTCATGAGGCCCAAGATTCGGCGGCCCAAGCGTCAAGGAGCCCACAGTACACACAGGGATGCCTTCGACCTCCTTGGCCGAAGGCTCCAAAACTCACAGAACCGCCATATTCGACCATGCGAAGCTACTGGGAGAAAATGACATAAAACAGGAGCCTTCGCCATTGTGGAGCCCTCGGCACCAGGGGAAGCCCTCGGCTGAACGAAGCCTTCGGCTACACAGGGAGCCTTCGGCCACACATGAAGCCTTCGACCACACATGGAACCTTCGGCCACATAGGGAGCCTTCGGTCATACATGAAGCCTTCGGCCACACAGGGAGCCTTCGGCCATACATGGAGCCTTCAGCCATACATCAAGCCTTCGGCCATACATCAAGCCTTCGGCTATACATGAAGCCCTCGGCCATACATGAAGCCTTCGACCATACATGAAGCCTTTGGCCATACATGAAGCCTTCGGCCATACATGAAGCCTTCGGCCATACATGAAGCCCTCGGCCATACATGAAGCCCTCGGCCATACATGAAGCCTTCGGCCACACAGTGCCTTCGTCCACACAAAGCCCTCGGCTATGCGAGGAGCCTTCGGCTAAACGGACTCAATCATCGAAGATTCCCTTTGGAGACAGCCAACCACCGCATTTAATGCGACGTCACATCCACCCACCACATTTAATGTGGGGAACGTGTGATGGTCGGTGCCACCCCGATTGATGTGACCCCTCGGCCGTTGGATTACTGACACGCGTACTCCCATCACATTTATTGCTGCTATAAATAGCAGCCCTTATTCTCCTTGTAAACCACGCTGAGTTCATTTAATAAATCGACTCTCTCTCCTCCTATTTTGCTCTGACTTCTCTCTATTTATTCACGCAATAACCCCTTGGATAAGATACCCCCCGGGTAGACTATCCATCAAACCCCTCGGATAAGCTACCCCCCGGGTGCGCTATCCATCAAACCCCAAATCCCTAATTAAACTACTCACAATTCATAATTGAAGAATCAGCAGAATGGGGATGAATATAAATAATTGTCATTAATTAAAAAGATGAACTTACAAATAATCCCAGGGTTCTTGAAAAAAATAGCGTAAAAACAGTGTTAAATTCGTCCCTAGGCCTCTCCGTAATGTTTGTAACCCCAAAATAGGAGAAGAGAGGCCTTATTTATAGAAAAATGCTAAAAATTCAGTCTGGACTAGGATTCCCGGGTCACGCTCGGCGAGCGTGGCATCCGAGCATGCGGAGTAAAACGCGTTCCGCGGGCACGCTCGGCAAGCGTCCCTGCACGCTCGGCCCGAGCGTGGAAGGCAGTGGCTCGGAACATTTTTCTTCATCAGGCACGGCGTGCCTATCTGCCAGGCACGACCGTGCCTGCTCTTTTTCGCTTCTTTTGTATCGTTTCTTGCTCCAAACTCTCCCAAATGCTTCCGTGATCAACTCAAAGGCCGTTTCTTCACCGAATCTTCGTCGTGAATCTCCCGGTGGCCTCCAAAACTCTCAAATCTCCCTCGAATGCTTTCTAACTCTTCCTGATTGCCTCTCAAGCGCCGATGCAGGACTCTAAATTCATCATTCTGCCTCCAAATGCAACAAAACTCGACCTAACGCCTGGTAAACACAACTTGAGCTAAAATTGAGACTTGCAACGCCTTAAAGTTAGGAAAACCCTCAAAATCCGACACCAACACGCATCAAATGCGTGTTGAAATATGAACTTATCAGATTCCCCCACACTTAAGCTTTTGCTTGTCCTCAAGTAAATCAAACAACGGGACATACGCTAATCACCACACGGAATTAAAATAATTAGCATGCACACGTAGTTTTAGGGATACTCACAGAACAGACAGACTTAACCCAGAAAAATCTTCCCTAAACTACATCTTTGTAGTCAAGCTAAAATATTTGACAAAATTATTCACAACATCCTTAAAGTAATGACAGCATACACAAATAAACTAGCTACCGATCAGAAGGACTTGTGAAGGTGATGGTGAATAGTAGATGGTAAACAGTCTCTTTCTTGAGAGTTTGGAACATCCTAACAAAGACTTAATGCATTCGGGAATTTCGGGGCTATTTTTAGGATTAAAGAGTTCAGTAGGCCACAAATTAGGAACTATCATCTAAACCTATGCAAAGAGTAGACATGATGTACAACTACGCTAAACCGTCACGACACATTTATGCTTTGACGTATACTTGAAGTACGCGAAGGACTAAAGTTAATTTTGCAATAGCCTTCAAGTTCATTAATTAAGTTTAGTTTTCCTTGTCATGTTAGCACGAGAACGCCATTTCTTTCGAAAGATACCCAAGTCTCATCTTACGTTTTTTGACCGGGGCTCCCATTCTCTTTTTCGCAAGGCAAGAGGTCTAGCTATATTAATTTTTCACCTTTTAGATTTTCACTATATTAATCTCGGCCTCACCAAGGAAAAATAGCAATTTAAAGCTCATTTATTTCAATCGTGAATCCATGCCTACAATGCAATCCTCGAAAGTATTAAATTCCTAAAAAGTGACTACTCTTACCCCATTTGGGGCATAGGAACTGTGCCAAAGTTGGCTCCTACATAAATTCCCTAAATGTGGCAAATTAATCCCCTAGTTCCCTAAACACCAAGACTATGTCAGAAATATTCACGGGTAAGGAAACGTTGGCCATTTGGCTATGGAGCTCAATTAATTGGGTAAACAAAGAACGGTCAGGCTCAAAATGGTTTCTCCTAAAGGAACTTATTCAGGTCGGATGGATGATTTATGAATAAATTTAATAGGTGACTAATGCCTTCATGTTAGGACTTTTTCTGGTGTCCAATCTAGTTAGATGTCTTTGTATTTGTGTACTTGTTAGTTAAATGTGTAATATGGGCCACAATTGAATATTAGCCCATTAGCCTCTCCTGTAAGCCATAAGTTAGCCATCCCCTCCTATAAAAGGAGGCTAACTTATGAGGAAAACCTAGAGAAGGCATAAGAATGTAAGGCATACATTCTTTGAATTATCATATCTTGAACAACTAGGGTCTGTTTCACAAAGGCTATTTGGCTTTAATAAATGGTGAATAATCTAAAAGAAATGGCATTGAGTAACATTCATTTTATCCATATTATATATATATGTGTGTATATATATATATATATATATGTGTGTGTGTGTATATATATATATATATATACTACCTCTGTCCCTTTTTATTTAGCCATCTTTGACTTTTCCAGTCAAAGGTGATTAACTTTGATCCATTATTTTAATTAACATATTTATGTAAAACATAATAAATTTATACTTTTATGATAGTATTTTCAACAAAGAACATTTTCATATAATTTTCATATTATCAATATTATCGTGTAAAAATATATTTTCGGTCAAAGTTGAACAACTTTGACTTGAAAAAAGGTGTTTGGCTAAATAAAAAGGGACGGAGGGAGTATATATATATATATATATATATATATATATATATATATATATATATATATATATATATATATATATATATATACATATGTAAGTGAAAAAAAAACCAAGCAGCATATGCCGATATTGACTGCCAAAGGGAGCCCTGAACAAGAAACTGTCAAAAGACTTTCCTGTGACACAATAATGCATTAGTTTCAAAAGCTTTTTCAACCTTAAGTGCAACAGCTTACTAAGTTGTCATGCTAAAAAAAATGTCTAGCATAAAACGAAATTGTAACTTCCATTTTTAATGTAGAAAACATGTTGAAAAGGTACTCAATTTTGTTTCCTGATATTTCTATTATCTATATTTCACGCAAAATCCAAGCTTTGAACAAAAAACAAGTCAAACACATTACAGCAAAGCTTTTCATAAAGATCACTGAATACTCATCCCATCTTAAACTTCACTTAAAATTGGTAAAGTAGCCCAGGATCAGAAAAATGGAACCCATTTCCACATATAGTACCACTCTAAGAGATGTGCACTTTAGCCCATGGATCTCTGGAATAATGCAATTGATCTCCAACAAAGTGAAAAGCACTGGAAGAACACACAAATTCCAAGCACTATTTCGAAAAAAACGTACTCTTCTGTGACCAGAACCGGCATCAGAGAACCCATAAACCGAACCGGATTGTTGAAACCCTAAGTACTTCTCCGCCATTTCAATGTATTCCGGAACCGGCTGGTCCCACTGAGACGCTCTCTCTTGAATCTCCTCCTCCGAAGCTTAAAACCCGAGCATTTACCGGAACTGTAAAATGAAACTGTAATGGAATAATTTGAAGCTAAAACGAATAAAACATTGCAGCAAAGTACCACTGCATGTCCAAGCGTCGAGGCCATTGGTGATGGAGAGGTCGAAGCGAGATGTGAACCAGGTGCCTTTGACGAAGATGCGTTCTAAATGTCCGGGCTCCTGCTCGCCGCTGTTCGGAATTTCCAGCTTCAAGCAAGTGTGCCGGTGACTCTCCGATTCCATGGGGCGCCTAGCGACGAAGCGAAGGCCGCTAATTCTTTACAGAATTACAGTTTTCACACTTCTTCAATTTTACTATTCGATTACGGTGCCGTTTGGTAACACCTTTTTTCGGCTTATCAGGCTTATCAGCCAACTTTTCCACCAAACACGTAATTTTTGCTTTAGCGCGCTGAATTGTGTAATAAGCAGAAAAAGTAAGGTTGGAGTTACTTTTCTGGCTGTATTGGCTGAAGTTACTGTAGATGACCATTTTAGCTATTTTTACATATAATTTTTTCTTTATTTTATTAATAAAATATATTTTAAAAATATTTTTTTCTTAAATCAGCAGAATCAGCCAATGCAGCCACTCCAGCCATAACTTCAGAAATTTCAGCAGAATCAGCCAAACCAGCCGATTTTCCTTCTACCAAACGGGCTCTACAATTCATATTTTAGGAAAAATAATAATTAGAAAGAGGACCCAATTCAACCCCTTAGCAAGTTAGCATGCAATAAACGCCCGGGCCATTATACGCTCCAAATTTGTGTTTTCCATTACCACACTGAAAACGTTAATCGGTTCGAAGTGGTTATTAGAATATTGATTGAATGGTTTATTCAAGAACAAACAATTGTGAGCACAATTGATACATAATGCATGGTATTTCTAGTGGAAAAGTGGAACGGATTAACTTTAGAATTATATATGTGACATATAATAATTCAAGAATTATGCCGTTTCACTGTTCTACTAGGATATCTTACACTGTATAATAATTGAATATGCTCATTCATTTTTGAAATGTTTTTGTAACAATCATATCTTCTTCGTTCAAAATTATCTTAGTTATATCATACTATCGTATTCAGTTTTGAAAGCGTGTATAGGTGCATAACCATGTATCCCACGCAAGCGGAGGGATACCTGTTGAGTCTACCCTTGATTTCTTTCACTGATATGATATACAAGTAAAGCAGTAAATTGTCTAATGATGGAGATACTCTAAGATAACATTATTTTCACTCCACTTGGCCGTCCGACTGAAATCGTTGGACTTGCTTATTCATATATTCATTTTTGTATCTTGACTGTTTTTTGGAGTAATAATAAACTCTTCTGCATTATAATTTATTTCAGTTCAGTTATATGACTATTTGAAAGTTTCGAGTAAGGTAACATATTACTTCCACTCAATATGATTATTGATGGAGAATTAATTATTTAGGAATCAAATACTACGTAGTACTGAAAAACCATACCGAATCGTACAAAGAATTGATATGAAACGGGACCTTATATTCGGGACGGTACCAGTTATTTGATTTTTCTAAGAATCATACTTTGGAATGAGACATGTTTCTTAAAATATTTCTAGATATACACCAAAATTTTAGATGTTGAAAAATGGCGGAAGTGTAAAAAAAGAAAAAGTGTACAGTGTTCCCGTAAAAAAATGTGGGTCAAAATATGTAAGTTGGGTTGGGTGGGTTCATGCACGCAGGTCCGCTGAGTAATACCCATTATTTGCAGCAGTTCAGCAGCCTTTTAAATGGACATTTTTTGCCTTTGATTGGACGCTTAGAGTTTACTCGGTCTTCCCAAAAAGATAATCCAAAAATGATCTTTCTCTTATGGGGTGTTTGGTTTTTTACACATTAAAACTTTGTATACAAAATAATTGTGTGTAAAATGTAGGGAAGCAATCATTTCGCGTGCGAAATATGAATACATTGTTTGGTTAGACATGTATTTCATTTTTAAATTGGGAGAAGGAACATATTGACCACTAAGGTCTAGACCAAGAAGCGCATTGAACATTAAGGTTAATTTTAGAGCAAAAAAGTCTACATTTTACCTTGGAGCACATTGGCTACCCACTCACGATGTGACTATGTCATGTGCTCCCATCTTCTATATTTTACTAATTCTACGTATAATGGTTATCTATTTTGTTTTTGTTGTGAAATGAAGAAGATGACGAACAACTTTAAGAGATAGATATATTGATAAAAACCTCTGAATTACTTCTTCTTAATTTCTGAGTTTCTGAATTTCTAAGTATATTTACAAGTGATTGATCAAGCCCTATTTATACTAGTTGGGCTTGACGATGAATCATCAAGGAGTAATTCTACACATCTTGCTGGCATCATTAAAACTTGCCATCTATCTATCTATGATTACAAGGATGGTAAGAAGCTTAGTGTCCTGATTACAAGGATGATGACAAGGATGAACAATTCACACTTGTCATTTCCTGGGTTTTACAACACTCCCCGTTGAATGTTCATCCTTGAGAATAGTTATTTGTATTTAAAAATTTATTGTGAAGATTAGTGTGAAAATTAAGGGGTAAAGATTATGACATATAATGTCATTGTATTTGGATGTACTGTCTCGTTAAAAACCTTATCAGGAAAAACCCAATGGGATAAAAACCTGATGAAGGGAAAAAGAGTGCAGTGCATTCAAATACTCCCCCTGAATTTAGCATAAATTATTAAGGCGGCGCAATGCCGATTTTCTGTACAAGTTCAACGAACTTCTTTGGGGGTAAAGATTTGGTGAAGAGATCGGCTGGATTTTTACTGGATCTTATTTGCTGATCGTTGATCGTCCCTTCTTTCTCAAGGTCGTGAGTAGAGAAAAATTTTGGAGATATATGCTTCGTTCTATCTCCTTTGATATAGCCTTCTTTAATTTGAGCTATGCACGCAGTGTTGTCTTCGTAGATCACAGTAGTGTAAACAGTAATAGGCTTCATACCGCATTCATTCTGGATGTGTTGAATCATAGATCGCAGCCATACACATTCTCTTCCGGTTTCATATAGTGCAATTAACTCCGAATGATTTGATGATGTAGCTGTCAACGTCTGTTTCATAGATCTCAACGAGATTGCGGTATTACCATAAGTAAATACGTACCCGGTTTGTGATTTTGCCTTTTGAGGATCTGATAAATATCCAGCGTCTGCATATCCGATTAAAGAAGCTTTGGCATCTTTGTGGTAGAATAGGCCGAGATCAACTGTACCACGGAGATAACGGAATATGTGCTTGATCCCGTTCCAATGACGTCTTGTTTGACATGAGCTGTACCTAGCTAATAAATTTACAGAAAATACAATATCTGGTCTAGTATTATTAGCTAAATACATTAAAGCTCCAATAGCACTCAGATATGGTACTTCGGGACCGAGTATATCTTCGTCGTCTTCTTGGGGACGGAATTGATCATCGTGTATGTTGAGAGATCGAATAACCATTGGTGAAGTCAAAGGATGAGCTTTGTCCATATAGAATCTCTTCAACACTTTCTCGGTGTAATTGGATTGGTGGATGAAAATTCCATTCTTCAAATGCTCAATTTGAAGTCCGAGACAAAATTTGGTTCTCCCGAGATCTTTCATTTCAAATTCTTTCATAAGATATTTTGCAGTATTTTCAATTTCATCGGGAGTTCCAATAATATTTAAGTCATCAACATATACTGCAATTATGGCGAATCCCGAATTTGATCGCCGAATGAAAACACATGGACTAATCGGATCATTCTTATATCCTTCTTTGAGAAGATATTCACTGAGACGATTATACCACATTCGTCCAGATTGTTTTAGTCCATACAATGACTTTTGTAATTTAATGGAAAACATGTCTCGAGGTTTCGAGCTATAAGCTTCAGGTATTTTAAATCCACCGGGAACTTTCATATAAATGTCTGTATCCAGTGAACCATATAGGTAGGCGGTCACTACATCCATTAGGCGCATTTGCAGCCTTTCAAAAATAGACATGCCAATGAGAAACCTTAATGTAGTTGCATCAACTACTGGAGAATAGGTTTCTTCATAATCGATTCCCGACATTTGAGAAAAACCTTGGGCAACAAGTCGGGCTTTATATCTAACAATTTCATTTTTCTCATTGCGTTTACGCACAAATACTCATTTAAAACCCACAGGTTTTACGCCAAAAGGCGTAGGGACTATCGGTCCAAAAACATCACGTTTTTCAAGTGATTTTAATTCAGCCTGAATAGCTTCACGTGTTTCCGACATTCTTCAATTGATGTTGGCTCATTGTCATTGTTTTCATTTATTACATTCGTGGCAACGGCATAGACAAATATCTCATTAATATCAGTATCTTTTCGATTCCATTGCATTCCAGTAGAAACGTAGTTTATTGAAATTTCATAATTATCAACGTTTCTATCAGTATCTGAAATATCTTCCTCATTTGAGGAAGTTGGATTATTATTTGAGATGTTTGTTTTGTCAATATCTTTTTCTATGCCAGTATTTTCAAATTGTTCATTTTCTTGTTCAGAAGGATGAACATCTTTGGCATCACAGATCAATTCCTGCCTTTTAGTTCTTCTTGGTTTTATGTCTTTTGATCCAAGTGGCATGCCACGCTTTTTGCGTACAGAAGAATCATTTGCAAGAGATTTTTCAAAATTCTCTGCTGAGATTTCGATTCTGGCAGGAGCATTCATTGCAGGAATATGTGACTTTGTCACTTTCTTTGTATCTGTGAATGCATCAGGCAACTGATTTGCAACATTTTGTAAATGGATTATCTTTTGCACCTCTTGCTCACATATATTTGATCTAGAATCAAGGTGTGATAATCCTGTTGTATTCCATGTTATTTCTTTCGTACTACGGTCCAATTTATTAGTTTCTCCCCCTAAGGTTGGGAATACTGTCTCATTGAAATGACAATCAGCGAACCGTGCGGTGAATAAGTCACCAGTCATCGGTTCAAGATATTTGATTATTGAGGGAGATTCAAATCCAGCATAAATTCCCAACCTTCTTTGAGGACCCATTTTTGTACGATGAGGTGGAGCAATCGGAACATAAACAGCACAACCAAATATTTTTATGTGTGCTAAGTTTGGCTCTTGTCCAGTAACTAATTGCATTGGGGAATATTCATGATATGCAGTCGGTCTAAGCCGAATTAAATTTGCTGTATGTAAAATAGCATGTCCCCAAGCTGATGAAGGTAAATTACACTTCATTAATAATGGTCTAGCGATTAATTGTAATCGT